CTGCTCTCCAGCAGCTTTTCCTGAGTGTTGCTCCTGGCTTTTCCCGACACCCCTGGGATCCCAGCTGCTCTTGCCTTCCCTGCTGCCGTCCGACCCCAGTATGCACCAGCTATGGCAACCCATCTGAGATCCTCCAGCTCCCAGACTAAGGTGCCATCCACACCGTGAGGAGTTTGCCTGAAAACAATACGGTTAATAGGGGAAAAAGGTGCCTCGCTGCAAGGTGAGAGTGGCCAGCACCAACACGGCAGGCAGGAGCATGGTGAAAGCAGGTTCTTCAGGGACCCGACCGGGAGATGGTGGCCCTTAAAAGCAAAACCACTGGCCAGGAGATGGCAATATGGCCTCAAGTTGCGTCAGGGGAGGTTTAGATTGGATATTAGGAAAAATTTATTTACTGAAAGGGTGGTGTTGGGTTGATGGTTGGACTTCATGATCTTAGAGGTCTTTTCCAACCTTAATGATTCTAAGACCTATGAATATCCCCTCTCCTTTCTGGGCCTGGCACTGCGCAGAGCAGAGAAGGGGTCAGCCCCTTGTGCCGGGGCTGGGTCCGTTTTGGTTTGGAAGCTCTAACCCTGCTTGGACCTGCTGCTGGACTGAACAGCTCGGTCAACGGCAGGATGACAGTCCATGTCCCACTGAGGCGGTCAGGCGTCCCCGATGTCCCTGTCCTGAAGCTCAGCCCATGCTGGCCGCAGCGGGTGGCGGACGGGGAATGCCGGAGAGCCCCAGGCATCAGTGCTGGGGCCACCCCGCCTGGACAGCAAGCCCTGACCTTCCTCCTCATCCACCTGCGCAGAGCTGGGCTTGCACATTGCCCACCTTCGTGTCCTGCTCAGGGGAGACCAGGGGACTGCTGACCATCCTGACCCTCTCGTCTGAAGACCTCTGCAGGGTCTGGTTGTGCTGAAGGTTGCTTTTCCTTGGGCTGGTCCATGCAGCTGGTGAGATCACGTTAGAAATCACACCAGAAGGATGAGCATCTCCCACAGAGCCTGCCTTCCCACTGAGACCTCCTCATCCCTCAGCAGAGATGGGGCACTGGGACGCTGTGGAGCAAGAACCAGCAAAGCAGCTGCTCCGGGCAGGCTGGGTGCAGGACACCTGCTGCAAAGGAGGCCAGGGCAGAGCGACTGTAACTGGGAGGGACTGGAAGCCACTGGAGCCCCTGTGTGCCTCTGGCTGGAGTCTGAAGAAGGAGGTGCCTGGTTAGACGTGCCCAGCATGCGGGATTGCCTTTCCTTGGCCATTCCTGCCTTGCATGTACTTGGTGAACCCCCGCCATCCCTCTGCCCACTGACCACATGATGCCCCAAAAAGCACCCAGGCACCTCCCAACACCGACAAAAGCAGCTTTTCCTGGTCAGAAAATTCCTGATTCCTCCAGAAGCTGTTCAGATTTCCCCTCAGCGTTCCCCGGGGGCCCAAGACATTTCCCTATTCCCCAAGGCTGAAAAGGGAACTTACAAAGAATATGATTTCATAACAGCAAAATCCTCAGGGTTAGAGTGAAAGGAGCACTTGGGCTAGCACGGGGGAGAAGTGTGGACACCGTATACGACTGCGGGTCAAGGTAAGAGAGGGATCTGTGAAGGCCATGATTGGGAAGGTGGGCTGTCAAAGAAAGACCAGGGACTTCCAGCGTGCAGGGACAACCAGCAGGACCGCACTGACTCAAGAAAGGTGGAAGCTGAACTGTGTCGCTGTGGTGAGACCAGTCTGACTTTGGTCTCGCCAGGCACAATGGATGACTTCATGGCAAAGGACCCCAGCTTTATCCCAAGCCCTAAGGGGTCTCGCAGCACCGAGCTGTTGGTCACATGGCAGGGCCCCAGGCACCCCAGGGTGCTGTCACCCTGTCCCACACAGCACCAGCGTCTGGCCCCAGCAGTGGGTGCTGCTTCATGGGGCTCTTCTATCTCAGCCTTCAGGGTCCTGTGACAACTATAAGCAAAACCCATCACGCCAGGGACTTAACGGGGACCATCTCTCGCTGCAGAGCTCTGGCTGGAAGTGGACCAGGGGCAGAGATCGGGTTCATCTCCAGCGTGTGCCACCTGGGGTTGGAGCCAGAGAGATGTTGATCTTCCAGGGGACGGCAGTGCCAGGCCCCAGGTGCCACTGCAGCCACACAAACCGCAGCTTCCTGAAACAGCAGGGATGCTGGGGGAGAGGCAGGGCTGACGGAGGAGCAGCTGAGTTGGGCTGAAGAGCTGGGGGCTTGTAGAAAACGGAGAAAAGAGACAAACCAGAACATGGCGTTTGGTGTTTAGACTTGGGTTATCCCATGTCCTCTCCAACTGGGACTCTGCTTTCCGCAGCCAGGAAAGCATTTCCCACCCTGAAATACCCAGGGACAATTTTCTAAGTACCGATTGCAGTGAGAAAAGGCTCCTCTTGCCCTAAGCCAGGGGGTCCCAGCCCAACAGTGGGGACGTTCAGGCAGTGGCAATGCAGCCAGCAGGATGCCCGGAGCAGGGCAGGCTTCTTCCTCGGACCACGCCGACGCAGAAACCCATGGACACAGAAATCCAGACGTTGCTGGCCTCCACGTGCGCTCTGCAGAGACGTCCAAGCTGTGTGCCCTGACGAGCAGCTCAGGAAGCTGACGAGAGCTTGCTGTAACTTCGGAGCCCTTTGGTCTCAGCCCGCAGGCATCAGGGAGAGGAAGGTTAACGGGATCAGAACCAGCCGATTCCACTGAATACAGCGTCCCTTTCTTTTCTCTCTGTCCTTTAATTAAGCCCCTTGTAACTCTGCTTGGGATTGGGGAGTGACCTCGGCGCTTTCATCGCGGGACCCTTCCTCATGGGCCGTTGCTCCGGCACAAAGCACCCTGACCTTCTCATCCCAAGGGAGCAGTGTGGGCAGGTCAACAATTCAAGCTGCGTCTCCCAGTTTCAGTGCACATGACAGCAAGTCAAAGGGAGGTCATGGGGGGATGCTGGCCAGCCGCCCAGTTACGTCCTGGAAAGGGAAAGCACCGTCCAGCGAGAAGGGAAGTTGCGCAGAGAGGGAGAAAGTGAAAGCCCAAAGCGGAGGTCTCCAACCTGTGACTGCTTCCAAAAGAAGCTGCTGTCAGCTGGGCTTGGCTCTCAAATGTCACCTCCCGCTGCGGGAAAACACCAGCCTACCTGGTTCCTGCAGGTCTTCGCAGCGCCGAGGCTGCGCTTTTGTTTTTCTGCTTATGGAAGAGAAAGATTTAGAAAAAAACCCGCCTTGTGACAAGCATGTGCAAGCCACGGAAATGCAACCACAAACCAGCACCT